TGGTGTCCAGGAGCAGAAGCAGCCCCCGCAGACACACCAGCAGTAGAAGCAGCAGCCGCAGCAGCAGCAGTAGCCACAACAGCAGCAGCAACAGCAGCACCAGCAGCAGCCGTGGGCCCGCCTTGCGCCAGGGTGGCCAGGATCCCCTGGAGGTGATGGCCGCGGTGGCGGTCCTCGCAGCTCGGCGTCTACCGGCGGCTTCGATGCTGTGAGCTGCCAGTACCAGCTCCAGACCGGGCCCCTCCGTGGCACTGTGGGCCCCAGACACGCAGCTGCGCGCCTCTACCTCAGTCTCCCTATGCTGAGAGTGATGGTGCGCGCTGCTCTGTCCCTGGAGATCTGTAGGCCAAGGTAGCGGCGCAGATCTCCTATGTCAGTGCAGGTGTGTCTCCTCGGCAGCTCGGCCTTCACGGAGGCCAGTGCGTCTCTGTCTGCAGTAGCGAAGACCATGTCGTCTACGTAGACAAGGATGTAGAATGGAGTCTGACCAGCACAAATGAAGAGTGAGGGGTCTGCAGCTAGCGTAGCGCGCATCATGTCGTGCCACTCACGGGGTGCCTGTCGCAGTCCGTAGACTGGGCGCCGGAGGAGCCACTGGGTCCTAGGAGGGAAGGTACCGGTGAAGCCCTGAGGACGGCGCAGGTAGACCTGCTCTTCTTCAGGGCAGCTTACACGAGCAGGTCCACTGCTTTTCTTCAGGGCAGCTTACACGAGCAGGTCTACCTGCGCCGTCCACAGGGCTTCACCGGTACCTTCCCTCCTGGGACCCAGTGGCTGCTTCGGTGCCCGGTCTATGGACTGCGACAGGCACCCCGTGAGTGGCACGACATGATGCGCGCTACGCTAGCTGCAGACCCCTCACTCTTCATTTGTGCTGGCCAGACTCCATTCTACATCCTTGTCTACGTAGACAACATGGTCTTCGCTACTGCAGACAGAGACGCACTGGCCTCCGTGAAGGCCGAGCTGCCGAGGAGACACACCTGCACTGACATAGGAGATCTGCGCCGCTACCTTGGCCTACAGATCTCCAGAGACAGAGCAGCGCGCACCATCACTCTCAGCATAGGGAGACTGAGGTAGAGGCGCGCAGCTGCGTGTCTGGGGCCCACAGTGCCACGGAGGGGCCCGGTCTGGAGCTGGTACTGGCAGCTCACAGCATTGAAGCCGCCGGTAGACGCCGAGCTGCGAGGACCGCCACCGCGGCCATCACCTCCATGGGATCCTGGCCACCCTGGCGCAAGGCGGGCCCACGGCTGCTGCTGCTGTTGCTGCTGCTGCTGCTGCTGCTGCTGCGGCTACTGCTGCTGGTGCGGCTGCTGCTTCTATTGCTGCTGCGTCTGCGGCGGCTGCTTCAACAGAAGTCCATAGTGACTACGAGCTTCACTCCCTCGACTTCTCCACTGCTTTTCTTCAGGGCAGCTTACACGAGCAGGTCTACCTGCGCCGTCCACAGGGCTTCACCAGTATCTTCCCTCCTGGGACCCAGTTGCTCCTTCGGTGCCCGGTCTACGGCCTGCGACAGGCGCCCTGTGAGTGGCACGACACTCTGCGTGATACGCTTGCTGACCTGCAGTTCTTCCAGTCGTCTGCAGTAGTATCGCCGCCCTGGTTTGCTTTTGTCTTGTTTGCACTCTTGCTGACTGGTCTTCGGACCCCTACCTCAGAGGTTGGACTAGTAGTGCCACCCTGAGCTTCGTATTCCTTGCTCAGCACTGCCCCTTATCTAGCCTAGGGGGTGTGTCAACATATACATATGTTTCTATGTAGATGTTATAGGCTAGATAGGTTTGTGTTTTTAGAGGGTACAACTCCAACCCTATATCTCCCCTGTTCTCACTTGTTCTAGTTCATTCTGCTATTCTAACAGAACTAACTTTTGGACGATGTTAGAGGTGGTAGAAGATAATCGGATCTTAATGATGCCAGCACCAAAACAATACCGTACCTAGTTTCTATCATTGCAATTGAAGAAACGGACAAAGAGGCCCATGCCGAAACCGAGAGGCATGTTTTTCGGGCGGATCCTTATCAAGTGGGATCCAGCGAAGAAGGATCTAGTTCTAAGAAACACAGCCATTTGTCAACTACTGTATTTACCCAGCCAAAAGACCCTAGGGTTTTACCCTGCCGTGGTTTTTTTTATAGGACAAATACATAAGACCCATGGTCTATGTTATACATATGAAATCATAACAACCCAGGTAGAAGAATGTTACTGCAGCCCTCCGAGTTCGTCTCCAAGACTGGGAGGTGCAGCTTGGGTGACGTGAGACCTACTTCCTGAGATCGCGTTTGGAAAACATCGCTTCTTAGGGCGCTCCATGTCGGGCCGACGTGAAAATGGCACGAATTGTGCTGATTTTACATGATCGAATGTGTCAAGGAAAATTTGCACTATCGATTGATCCAAGGCACTTTTATACTTCCAAGTTACATTAGGAACTAGGTTTATCCTATCCTAAGAGAATAGACCCTTCTAGAAATAGAATCACCCTGCGTATAGCCAAGCGAAACAATTGGCTTTAAGGGATTACGACAGAATTACGCTAGATATAGCGCGCAAGTACATCCCTTCATCGCTTGGGTCACCGCAACTTCCGTACGCTTGCCGATATCGCTTCCAAGAAACTCCTTATTGGCCTCCCGTCGGCGCTTCCTCCACCAACAGACTCACCTGCACCTACCTGCCTGGACTGCACCAAAAGCAAGCTCAGGCAGCAGCCGCACCCTTCCTCCCCATCCGTCGCAGCTGCTCCGCTGGACCTAGTGCACATGGATGTCTGGGGCCCACCTCCAGTCGCATCCCGTGGCGGTCATCGATACTTTCTTACACTAATCGATGACCACTTGCAGTATATTTCCATGCAACTCCTGCACACCAAGGCGGAGGCACCTGACGTCATCATGGCATGGGTGCGCCAGGCTCAAGTCACGTTCGGCACTCCTCTGAAGTGCCTCCATTCTGATGGCGGGGGAGAATTTCGCAATGGCAAACTCGATAACTTCTGCGCGGCCCAAGGGATTCGGCAAACCTTCACGCTCCCCGAAAGCCCGCAGCAGAACGGAAGTGCAGAGAGCCGCAACCACACCTTGGTTCAAATCGCTCGATGCCTCCTCAGTCACGCCAACGCACCACGGTCACTCTGGGGATATGCCATCTTCTATGCGGCTCTCCTCTACAATCTTTATCCGCATCCCCACCGGCCCGACACCACACCTACCACTCCCTGACTTGGGGCCATGCCATCCGCCCGCTCTCTACGCGTCTTGGGGTGTACCGCATATGTGTTGCTCAGCCCCCACACGCGCATGAAGCAAGGTGGCAAGCTAGGTCCAAAAACCCAGACTTGCATGTACCTGGGGCACAACTCCGATTCCCCAGACTACTTATTCCTCAACCCCATCACCAGACAGCTGATTCGCAGCTGTGATGTCGTCTTCAATGAGACACGCCCCTTCCATTCTGCGACCTCGAGCGAGCCTTGTCCACCTCCCCCGACGCTTGTATGGGCAGACTTCGATGGCCCACCCTCGGCCGCTGCCCCTTCTCCGGGGCCTTCTCCGTCCGGCGTGTCTCACCCGGCCTCCTCAGTATCCTCCGCAGCGGCACCTCCTCCTGCTCCGCCTTCCCCACGCGTCGAGCCCGGCTCTCCAGTCTCCTACCGGAAGCGCCCAGTCCCTCCGGTCCCACCGCAGCCGCCTTCGTCTCCGGTCTCTAGTCGCACTCGTTCCAAGGGATCCGCTCCGCCTCTCGCCTGGGGACCAGCCGCCTTCTCCATCCGGTGTTCGGTCACCCTGCCTCCTTCTGCTGGGGGTGATGTCCCCTCCATCCGTATTCCCCCCCGTGCTCTTCTGGAGGACAGGCATGAGGAGCTGCTTGACCTTTGCGCGGTCTGCCAATTTCTCTCTCACATCTTCCCGGACATTACTGACTGCCCTTCCCTCAACTTCACCGAGAACCCGACCATTCCGACTCTTCGCACAAAAGAGGAAGCTCTCTCGCGGCCTTATAAGAAGGAATGGAAGGCAGCAATGGATGTGGAGAATGAGGCGTTCATTCGCAACAACAGCTTTGACGATGTCGTTCCCCCTTCCGGTGTTAACATCGTCGGCGGAAAATGGATCTTCCGAGTCAAACAACTTCAGGCGAAGCTCCACTGTTCAAGGCACGATACGTGGCAAAGGGTTTCACCCAGAAGGAGTATCTCGACTTCTTCGAAACATTCTCGCCCACGGCCAAGCTCCCGACTGTGCGCGCTCTTCTTGATATAGCCGCTCGCGGCAACTTCGAGATCAAGTCCATGGACGCCTCGTCCGCTTTTCTCCAAGGCCAGCTCAAGGAGGATGTACACATGGAACGCCCATCGGGGTTTTGTGGCACTTGTTCTGCCAACACAGTGTGGAAGCTGAAGCGCCCAGTGTATGGCCTCAAGCAAGCTCCTCGTGAGTGGCACAACAAGGTGAAGGAAGTCCTCCTCGCACTTGACTTTCATCCCTCCGCCTCAGATTCCAGTTTCTTCGTTCGTCACTCCTCCGAGCCCTTCTACATCCTCGTGTATGTCGACGACTTCATTCTAGCCGCCAAAGATCCAGCCGACATGGCAGCTGTCCAGTCTGCTCTCAGCTCCGCCCTTCTCATGAAGGATCTTGGTGACCTCAAGAACTACCTAGGGATGGAGATCACTCGTGACCGCCAGGCTTGCACGATCACCCTCTCCCAGGAGTCCTACATCGACAACCTTCTCAAGCGGTTTGACATGGACTCTAGTAACTCTGTCTCGACTCCTCTCCCACTACAGCATCAGCTCACGGCCCCTCCTGTTCCTTCTCCTAACACCTGCAAGGACCCGTACACTGAGCTAATCGGTTCTCTCATGTATGCCATGATGTGCACTCGACCAAACTTGGCTTACCCAGTTAGTGTCCCCTCTCGGTACGTCTCCCATGGACGCTACACTGCCTCGCATTGGTCTGCAGCCAAGAGGGTCCTCCGCTATCCACAAGCCACCAAGTCTTACATCCTCACTCTTGGTGGTACCTCTCCAGTCAAGCTCGAGGGATACACAGACTCCTCATGGGCCGATGACCAGACTGACAGACGCTCCTCCCAAGGGTACTGCTTCACTCTTGGTAGCGGAGTCATCAGCTGGCGCTCCACTCGGTCCTCTGCAGTCTCCCTGTCCTCTTGCGAGGCCAAGCTCTACGCAGGCACAATGGATGCTCAAGAGGCACACTGGCTCTCCTTTCTCCTCGCTGAGTTAGGCTACCCCCAGCTGTCGCCCACCCTATGGTGTGACAACCAGAGTGCCATTCACCTCACCAAGGATCTTGTGTTCCACTCTCGCACCAAGCACATTGAACTTCGTCATTTCTTCATCCGAAATCTTGTTCAGAGTGACCAGCTGTCAGTACGGTACATCGCCTCAGATTGCAACCTCGCCGACCTCTTTACCAAGGCTTTTGGCAAGGCTGACCACCATCGCCTTCTTCGTTCCATGGGGCTATGTGCTCCTTGACCAGGTTTTGCAGTCTATGGGGGTGAGTTAGAAATAGATTGCAAATCCTACTTTTGTATTTGTACTTTTATATCCTAGTTCAGGTTAGGACTGTTCTAGTGGGTTGGGGTTTACTCACAAAATCCCAACCTCACCCAATTGTGATCCCCCCAATCTCCAATTACCCAATTGGAGATTTTGGAGATCCCAATGGGGATTCCCTCCGATTCCCCCTTCATCCATTCTCCCTTACCTTGCCATGTACTTATAGAGCCTTGGGCTCCTTACCTAGTCAATCATTTCAGCTCTATTTCTTACACGGCGGGCGAGTGAGGGGCCGGTGGGGTACGCGAGGGGGCGGCAGGGTACCCGCGGGGGCCGGCGGGGTGCTAAGGGCCAGCAGGGCGCTAAGGGCCGGCGGGCACACGAGGGGCCGGCGGGGTACACGAGGGGCTGCCGGGGCGCTAAGCCGGCGGGGCGCTAAGAGACGACGCGGCGTTAAGGGCAGGGCTGATTTTATTATTCTATTTTTGCTTGATTGTGTGAAATTTCAGACCAATTTTTTTGCCGA